AGGGATAGTATAAATGGTTGAAAATATTATTTCACGAATTCACATCTGTAACGTAGGCGTGACGACGGAGTTGAGGATCCAAATGCAAGGCTTTTATTGTAGAGCGTAGTAAAACAGGCAGGGTCAAACACCAGCAAACAGTAATAACTAATGCCGAGTTCACACTGCACGATTTTCAAAGTCGTCGGGTCACCATGGTTTTCACACTGCACGACTATCTGAGGTAGCAGTCAGTCGCTGCTGTGTTCACATTGCACGATGGATCGGCGACAGGAGGTTACACACTGCATGACTTCACAATAGGAAGAATCGCCGACAACTCTGTCTGGTCCGCAAACTACGTTTCACAACAAAACACACGCGAGAAGTGATAAGGAAATAACGCGAGAACCCGCGTGCGTCAGACCGGAGTTCTCGAACAAGACTGGAATTATAAAATATATATTTAGTCCGCAAACTGTCTGTGAGCTGATTTCCAGCTGCAAGGAGAAAAAGAAAAACAGATTATGCAGGAGGGAGATGCAGGGAACAGGGATTGGGTGTTCTGCAAAGAGAGTTGGAGGTAAATAATTTTGCAGTAACTGTTATGCTGATGTTGTGGCTGGTCAAGCAAATGTTTGTGCTTGTTTCTGTATGATATAATTGTTCATATATCTATTAAAATACTGATATTCTGGTCTATAACTCCTCCCCGAACTTCCCTCTGCCCTGTATCTTCGTCTCTCATTGGCTGTAGGTCATCGCCAATGTCGTTTTCAGTCAGAAATCATGGTGAATGTGAATCGCCGACAGCTCCAGATATTTAGCATGCCAAATATTTTGCGGGCGTCGGCGACGTGTTGGCGATTCCCTCAGATCGCGTCTTTGATAATTCACACTGCGTGATTGTCACTCACGTGAACGAGCACCGATTTGCCTCCGATTTCGGGCATTTGTCGGCGATTTCGCAAAACCTGTCGGCGAGTGAAAAATCGGGCTAAAATCGTGCAGTGTGAACTCGGCATAAGGCACGGGCAAAAGGGTAATCCACAAGAAAGGCAAAGGTCAGGGCAGGCAGCAAACAATCAAAAACCATGTAAAGAGTCCAAGATCAAAACACGAAGGCCAGGCAAGAAAACAAGGAACTAGAAAATAACGGGAAAATATATAAACTAGGAGTATACTATAGGCTATTGTTACGTCTAAGACGTATTGTATGCTGTGGATGTGTTCCTGTTGTCTCCTCTCTACCAGGATTGGTCCAAGGCTTAATGAGAGACTGCTGGTGGGTGGACCAGAGACGAGACCTGTACTATAAATTCCCCCGGATCTCGCTGGAGGGCGCTCTCACTCTTGCTCTCACTCTGACTGCCACTTTTTTATGCTCGCTATGATCATTGCTCTGTATGTCTCTCTTTGATTGATCATGCTTGCTCCGGTGTTAAACCTGTGTGTTAAGCTCTAGTGAAAATGCTGTGAGATCTCAAGTCTATATTCTAACAGAGTGCTGTTAGCTCCATGTGCTGTGAGAGCCTTATGTCTTTAACTTCGATGTTTCACTGTTCATGTTTGTAAGCCACGTGTGAGGCAGTAGGGGGTGAGTGCCTTATTTGTTTTTATAGGCCACTCGGCCATTACCCCTATCAATCATCAGCGATGTGTTTGTGTCTGAGTGCATCTTTTATAGTCCTTCTAATATGAGGCAGCTGTGAACTGGTAATGAGTGCTGATGAGTCCGGACAAAGGATTGTGGGAAATGGAGTCCTGAGTGAATGGAGTGCCCTCTGGTGGAGCTCATGGGCACTCCAATGGGTGATTGTGACAACATCTTTGAGTCCATTCATTATTTGTAATGCGCCTGCCATCCAATAATCGCAATAAGCTTTGTGCTTTGTTACTTTTAATAAGAAACAAAATCTCAGGTTTCAAATTCTGTCAAATCACGAAATACAAACTATAAATGTGGTTGTGGCGCTCTTATTTTGGCATTCGCTGTTGCACATCAGTTTAAATGGCACATAAACTGATAATTTCTTCCTCTTTGCTACTAGTTATAGCAAAAAAAAAAAGAAACATAAATGAACATCAGAAGGCGTAGAAAGAAACAGAACAACTTACTGAAATAAACAATGTCTCATGCAATCACTCAATCAGTGTTTCAACCGCAGAGAGACGTAAGTAAAAACAGCTTGTAAAAATGTCACGTAAAGTCACATGTCACATTTACCTCAGAAAAGACTATCATTTGAAAAAATAACTCTAGAAAAGAGAATTTTGATAATATGTGCAATATATTACATTCTGTACATTTTACTTATCATCATTACTTTTGTCATCTTCATTTTTTTATGCATGTTTGAATAACTCATGAGAATGTGCAGGGAGACTTCAGATATAAAAAAAACTTGGACTTGTTAGGAAATGTTTCCTCAGAGAAGGATTTTCACCTTGGGAGAATGCATATTGTCATGTTAAAGAATGCCCAACAATGCAGGGAGTGAGGAGAGGGTAGCATCTTCTGTTTTAAGTTTTTGTATTACATCACACAATGGTGTGTGAATCACACATTCAGCACTCATACATCCCTATATAAGAGCTTTACTACCACTGAACTTTACTGTGGGAACCAGGCACTTCTCAATGTACCCCTCCTCTACCAACCCCATAACATTTTGGAAGCTGTTAGATCCAAAATGATTGATTTGACCAGAGAATGGATTCCCAGAAATGTATATGGGCCTTGGAAAAGGCTAAATGAGTTTATTGTGCTTTGGTTACAGTAGGTAGTTCCAGTTTGGACAACAACCATGCATTTCGCTTCTGCAGGCTGTATCTTACACTGTGAGATAAACAGTCACTCTTTTCATAGCTTTTGCTGGCTCTGCGACACCTTCTTGATATTTCTCCCGCTCTGATATTTCTCTGTTTTTAAATTTCTGTGTTAATTTTGCTATATTTTCACACTTAAAACAATGATTTGATGTTCCTTTTGGCCAGTGTCCTCTTTTGTTCTAAGAAATAAGTCTCCTAACAGTTCTGCCCCAAGTGGTTCCATTGTCATCATTAAGTCTTTTACACTTTTATTTGTCAAGCAATTACTTCTCTTTAAAAGCTTTGGCTCAACATATCAGTTGATCAAAAATTGCCTTAAACTTACACCAGAATTTTTTTATAGTAACTTTCAGGAGGGTGTACTTTTTGCAACACAACATTTCTTTGATAAGAAAATCTTATTTTCCTGAATAATTTTGACATTCTTCTTTGATAATTGATCAAGCAGACTTGCTGGAATGTTATATATTTAAAGAACCCTAACATGTCTTCTAAGTAAAGAGTAATTTCAGAATTTCAGAGGCAGTGTACTCATTTATGCTGTGCACTGTATGTATGTATTTATTTATTTTGCAAAATTTTGTTCTAAATCATATTCTTGATTTTTCTTAAAGGTATAAGATAATTTTACCCCTAATTACCATTTTCCAAGTTTCCCAAATTGGCATGCTGAAATATTGGGGGTGTCATTAATTATCTTTGAGAAAAAAAAAAATCCCATTCATCTCTAAAGAGTTTGTTAAAATTTGAATATTCCATTAGTGAAGTGTTGAAATGCCTACAGAGGGAGCTTTAATATTAGGGCAATCAATCTGTAAATTTAGTGATTTAAATGCATGGTCACTAACTATAGGGTGAATTTTAGTATTAACAATATTTTTGATACTAGAATTACTAAAATAATACTAATAATAATAATTTCATGAAAATGACTTATGTAGAGAAGAAAAAAAGTGTATTCTCTTGCTGTCATATTTTTAATTTTTCATCGGTCCCCAAAGCCCAGTTCTTTCATATATTGCTTTATTATTGTTGCCGATTATGAATACCTTGTATTAACTGCACCAATCTAAAATTGGGTCTAAAGCTGTATTAAAGTCACCTCCGAACAGTATTGTTGAATTAATAGCTAAGTTAGATATCTGTGGAAAAAGGAGGGGAAAAAAAGGGTCATCTTTTTGGGACCATATCAATTAACAATCGTAAATGATTTATTATAAATGGTTAAAAGAATAATAAAATAATTATTCTGCATCAGTCAATATTATTGAGAGTAAAAGAAAGTTTCTTATGAAGACTTTCTTCTTATGAAGACTTTCGAAGACCCCCCCCCCACACACACACACACTTTGCCTTGAGCTAAAAGTGGACGAAAAGACTTTCGTAAAATGGGGATACGCGATTGTCTGTTCATCTGAGTCTGAGAGGTGTTGTCTGTTCATCTGAGTCTCAGAGGTGGATTTCAACAGACCAACATCAGACTTTAGCTTTATTAAATCATTCATAATATTCATAAACTGATGTTTCACACTGTATGCTCCTAAACCCCAGGGAAAAAATAGTTAATCCAAAAATGAAAATTCTGTCATCATTTATTCACCCTCAAGTTTGTTCTAAACCTGGGGGGAAAAAAAAAAAAAAATACTATGGAAGTCAATGGCTACCGGCAACTGTTTGGTTACCAACATTCTTCAAAAAAGTGGGTGTTCACGCACATGTCTCAGCCACATCACAAAACATAATCTTTCTAACTAAGATCAATTATATAGCAAAATTCTAATTTAAGCCATGGGCACAGTTGCCAGGGCAATGATAATAAATTCATGTTAACTATATGGCGCAAACCATAAAGTGAAGGGCTGCTCTCTTCCCACCCAGTCACAGACTGTAATTAGAGTGTACAGTGAAGCTTAGAGAAACCCCCCATCTGAACTACAAATAGACCAGCCCTGTAATGACCGTCAGTGCTGCGGCCAGTAGACCTGAAGCCTGTTTAGACAGCCATAAATAGGAGGTGTATTTACCAGGAGGGGCTCTTACAGTTCCAGAGCACAGAATACAGAACATCACTTATCATCTACATACCTACTGCTTCATAAAAACCTTATTTTTAACATTATCACACTCGGGAAACTACTCAGAAATTCTTCTAATAAATAAACACAATATATCTAAGTATGACAACTCACAGGACTGCTGACTTTTGGCTTTGTTGGTGGCCTTGTTGGATTCACACCAGACAGTGACTCCGTCATTCATCAGCTTTAGCATGCGCTTCCTCTTCCAGCGTGGAGAACGTACCTTCGTCATAGAGGACCCCTGCAGCATCGTTTCCACATCATCATCATCCTGGACCCCTGCAGAGTTCATTAATAAGTCTGATGATTGTGGCACTCTAAAAATCATATTAGATTCCTATGCAACAAAACTACAAGCTCTGAGCAAACAGTGAAATCCAGCATTTGCATTTGAGCTGCCATTTATTCAGAGCAAATGAATTACCACAGTTTTCTCCATGTAACTAATCAAAACAAGTCTGCATATTCACTAGCATGTAACCATAACATCACTTAATGTGAGTGAAAGCAAAAATAATTTCACCACAATTTTACCAATGTTTTGTGTGGCTTAAAAAAATGCAAGAAGTCAAAAAGTAAAAGAAAGAAAGAAAGAAATTTGAACTACATATATTTGGTAAAAAAAGGGACCACTGTATAACAGCACAAGTTACAATTTGCTAAAAGTTCACAATCTGGTAAAAACACCAGTGCAGCTTCAAAAATACAGCATATTTATTATAGCAATGTTTAAAGCTTGCTCAATAGTCACATGACTAATAGTCAACCACTGTATACTAAAAATGACAGCAATCTATTTTGAACCCCCTTACAGAATTTAATTGTCTGAATTATTATGAGCACTCTACTAAGTCCCAATACAATTAGCTCTCAATTTATTCCAGGAAGTGATAAATAACCTCTTAAAATGGAACCCAAAGGGGTATTTTATTTAATTCCTCTGCTAGTTCTTTATGAGGATTCACTGATGTACCACACAGGGGAGGAGGGCTATTATTTCATATCTGCTTAACATATTAGTCAGTCCCTTTCAGGGAAAGGGACAGCAATTTGAGACATTGTGGTATATCTAGAATATATATTTTCTAGATATATTTTCTTGGTTTATATAGTTTATAGTTTATAGCTTTAACTATATAAGACAATGCCAAAGGCCAAAGCTAGGAAAACTCAAATGTCATAAAAAGAGGCATTTTCATTGACCATGACCAATGAAATGATCAGTGAAATGAGAATTGCCCATTGTGGTAGAACCCACACAAATACAAAACTAAAATAAATATAACTGTGTGTGAAATCTTAAAAAAAAAAAATAATAATAATAATAATAATGTCTTACCCATTTTTATCAGGGGATCGTCTGGTTTAAATTGGGACGTCCCGGCTCCATTCTTCTTTCTCAACATGATGCAGTAGGTCCTCTTTCGTCTTAAACTGGAGAGTTTATGTGATAAACGGATGGTTGTCTAGATTGTGTGCTGTGCTGATGCAGCTCTATCTGTATATATGTCAGGAAACAGAACAGACACTGCCCCTGTCTAATGAGCTCACGAATGTTAAAGAGCTGCTACTGTTATATGACATCACTTTACATTGGCTTCGGTTTTTATTTCAGTCTACGATGTACAAAAATTCTAACCTACATAAATATAACGATAGAAACTGGTGCCGCTTAAAAGCATATAAAGCACAGATTTAGGTGTCCAATAAAGACGTTCTTGTCCTATCTATGCTCTAGAGCTGAATCATAAACAACGATAAGAGCAGCTCGTTTAAATGGGATTAGACACAGACACAGAAAAATAAATAATAATACAGCTACTATATCTTCAATTCAAAACGCAAATACACCAAATACAGACAATTTATAAAAAACGAGTTGAAAATGGCTGGACTACATTATGAATTCTTACCATATACAGCGATGTGCAGACGATCCTGTGCTGAGATTAGGATTAACAAAATGTCTCCCTCTAGCGATCTCAACATTAAAAAACAACCAACTCGAAATTGATCAAATTAATTATTTCAAGCGTAAGGTACAAAACAAGTTTAACGTTTGTATTAATGTTTTGCCAGCTACAGTAATGATTAATGCATACATTTGAACTTTTTATTTAAATCCAAACAGTTTTCAGAAAATATGTTTGCCCTAAAGTGTGCAAGCTAAACGCACCAATAGTGAGAATCGCCACTGAAAGACGTTTAAAGGCAAACACTAAAACATAAATATTTTCTCACAAAACGATATGCATTTTTTTTATTCTTACTGTTAAAATAGGCTGTCAAAATAATAAAATAATCACACAACTTCTTTAATATTGACTAATTAAATGAGTAATTAATTGTCAAATATATTTACATGTTAACTTTGACGACGTAAAACTGCATTTTTGTAGGCTAAAATATTATTATTCTTTTTTTTCAAACAGATTTTCTCAGCTTCTTTCTCTTTCTTAGCTCTCGTTTGCAACAGAGGCCAATCATCGTCGTAATACTCCATCACGTGACTGAAGCAGGAAGTGATCTCCTGGCCGAAATTCCAAGTGGTGGTGAAAGATCCCCTTTTTTAGAAAACAGCATAATGCAGTTCTCAAACTCACTGATTGTACAAGGTGCACCGCTTTGATGTAATGTGATTGGTCGTTATATTGTCTTATTACAGTTATATGGTAGGGTTCGTGTGTAATGGCAGCAGGAGTAACGTTACAGTAACGTTAACGTGTTACAGGGCAGGTGAGTTGAAACTCGCTTACTCTGCTTGACCCACTGGCTAATAACCTCAGATCAGAGAGGACATACAATCTAAGTCTCCTGGAAGACGAATACAATTTATGATGATTAAATAAGTGTAATAGTACAAGCAATCTGAGAGAAAAATTTCTTCCGAGACTTGATTTCTGAATGACCGAATGACACATTTGTCACCAGTGAATATAATTAACAGGTTGTCTAGACTCTAGTTAATGAACATTCGGCTGCAGGAGTGTGGGGAAAATAGACACCATATGATATGTCATCTCTTATTGTCAGAGATCGAGGACTGTCAAAGGCGCTTTCAGGCGGCTGTCGACGTCATTCAAAGCCTACCCAAAAATGGTAGCTTTGCCCAGCATTTGCAAAAATTACATTATTGGTGAATGACATCATCACTGTTATGTACAATAACATCATTCTTTTGTAGCAGATATAAAATGTACACAGCTTGTTATTGCAAGCATCTCTATAAATTATATAAGTCTACCTCATCACACTGATTTGCATTATTTGCAGCAGCTCATGACTCCAGGGGTAAATTTTAAATTGCACTTGCACAGGTTCCTACAGACCCTCTTATGAAGTGATGCTGCGGTTTTATGCTCTATACAAAGTCTGTGGCCCATGTACAGTGTCTCACGCCCAGGATTCTGGGACCCTGTAGGCCGTTACAAATAATAATGCTTTTAAGAAGTTATAAACATCATATTCAAGTGCTATAATGTGCCTAACTAAAGTACATGTGATGGTCTTCAGAGCCCTCAGAACATTTAAAGGACTGGTTTAACTTCATGGCATGTTTTTCTGGTCTTGTGTCAGGGATGCTTGGAATCAGCTTGGAGAGATGAGTCGGGAGAGTGCCATGGCTGCTTATGTGGATGAAATGAAGGAAGCTGCACAAGAGGTGGGAGAGCTTCGATAATATATAATATAAGATATTCATAAAACAACTTGAGGGAAAAGTAAGTTTAGCAAAATGTTCTCTAAATCAAATGTGTTGTCAGAGCCGCCAAGCAAATAATTTTTTTCCATATAAATAAATTTGCTGTCATGTATTAATTACAGGTTCAGGGTATCCGCGGGTCCTTAAAAAATCTTAAATAACGTTTTCCTAATAAAAGGCCTTAAAAAGTATTAAAATGTCTTAAATTCAGATTCGATGGGTCTTAAATATGTTTTGGTTACATTACCGCTAAAATATCTTACGTCTGATGGACCTAATGACTGTTTACAATCATTGGACAGACCGAAGATTTTTTTCTCCCCCGCGGTAGTTACTGCATCCTCAGAGAGAATCGCAGTAGCAGAAAACAGGGCGAACTACCTTATAATGTTCTCAATAATATCAATAATAATAATATAAGGTCGAGCTACAGCTGATCAGCCTTCTAGCTAGTTTAAAATGTTTTTTTTTTCGACCGGACCTGATTAAAACATAAGTGACAAAAAATAATAATAACCAGCGAACCATGGAAATGCGAGAATGATTCTTCTAATTTTATTAAACTACATTTAATGTAAACAGCGATTTATAATGGATAGTGTATGTATTTCTGGTATCAAGGTCGCGCTGTTGAAGCTCACTCTGTTTGTCTTTTTGTGAGAGACTTCAAAACAAATGAGCGTAACAGCACACATAAAGAAACTCAGAAGAAACACACTGAGTTAAAAATTCAAAATGTTTAGTTTATTCATAACATGATATAGTCAAGTAACATACCATGACAAGTGAGCTATTTTGCTGAATATTCTTACGACGCAAAACACCTACAGAGTGCACACATTACGTGAAGTCTAGTGCGCGCGCGCGCATTTACAGTGCGCTCTTTCACGGCATGATTCAGTCTATTAAAATACATTCAGAATTATCACAAATTCAATACATGGGGGCAGAAAATGTAGGCCTAAATATTTATACAACTTCGTATAGTTAATCAATTTCACATGAAGAGTCCGTTTTTTTTCTCCACAAATTTACCACGATTACAAGTGTGTTATTGTTTTTTTTATTTTACAACAGTTCAATAAACTATAAGTTAATTAAGAGACTTACGTTTTAGACACCATATTGCCTGTTTCTGCACTATTGCACTAAAGCCACAATGCTGTTTTGCGTCTCTGAGCAACTTGACGGTATTTAGTTCCTGAATGAATCAACATTTTAAATGATTCGTTCAATCGCAGTGACTTGCTGCCACCTACTGGTGGTATTATTTATGCATTTGTAAAAATAGGCCTTTGTAAAGGTAAATAACAATATGCAGATTTAAGTTGATAGAACATTGATGAAAATATTCCTTCAGAATAAATTGTTTGTGCCACCAAAAATCTTGGTGATGCAGTGCTTTTGTGGGGATATTTTGAATGGAATATTGTCTTCTGATATGAAAAGTTCACTGTGTATTTTAGTAATAAATATAATTTATTACAGTGATGATATTTTGTTTTCTTTTTATGTTAAACACATTAAATATTACATATATGTATGTAATATAATGTGTACTTCCATTACAGGTTTAGGTCTTAAATTTAATATAAGGTGGTATTAAAAAGGTCTTAAAAAGTCTTAAATTTTACTTGTTCATGTCTGTAGAAACCCTGAGGTTATAGACACCATGCAAATCAATGAGAAGCCTGCATCCTTTTTCCATTATTTTGAACCTCTCTATTATGTCATTCATGATATGCCCAGACCTCCAGAGGCACTTTTATCTCCCAGATCAGGTGTGCATTTATTTATTTATTTTGGTAAAATACAATGAGTTCTATGTGATAACTACTATGATTACTATGAAAACTATGATTTTGGTGTGCATTTTAAAGATGTAAATGCCAGAGAACCAACTTATGGTTGGGCTGATCATGAAGTGGAGAGGGCAACCAGCTCTTCAACAGGAGGACACATGGATGGTTCCTGAAAGTGAACTTCAATCTGAGAGTACAGGTAGTGTAATGATTATCTATAAATGAGGGATGCAGAATATTTTGCAGCCCACCAAAACACTTTTTTTTTTTTTACAATGGAAAATTTGGGTTTTAAGCTTGTACAAACAAATATGTGCAATTTTACTCTGATCATTTACACTTGTTTTTTTTTTTTTTTTTGTATTATATTGGAACCTGCACCAGTTATGATCACTATCCAGACATGTCCCACCCACCAAACTTCCTGTTTAAACATTTGACAATTGTATAAGTAATAAATGATGCCAAGATTGTGTGCACTATATTTCTTCTCTTTCATCGCCATATATGTGTGTAGAGGCACATGTGTCTGAGGTTCAGGGGCTGGCTAGTGACTCAGAGAGTGAAATCTTCTGTGACTCTTTGGAACAGCTGGACACTGTTAAGGTCTAAAATTTGACTAAGTCTAATTAAAATGTGTGTAACAATCTATGTCCCGCATTTTTTACACTATTTCTTTTATGCACTTACAGCTTGCTGCAATGCCAGATGGTAATGCCAGTTCCCAGAATGGGCATGCACTCATTGAGACCACTGGAATCCAGGTGCATCATTACAGCCCTCTCTCTCAGGTGATTCAGATCGGTGCTGGACATGGTGGTGAGGGGGCAGAAGATAGGTTTGGTCCTCCCATTAGGAGGAGAACCACAGGGAGAGAGGGGATGCAGCAGGGCTGGAGGAACCCCTCAGGTAAGTTTAATCTAATTGCACATTATAAACCACAACACCCTTTTTGACTTCTTGTGTCACTATTACAAGTGCCACCATGTAACAATATTTTTGTAAATTTTATAAAACTGTTAAAAATATCCAAATGCATGGATCCCTACATTTACATAACCGTTCCAAGAGTTTTGGGTCAGTAAGTCCCAATGAAGTGCCTTGAAACCATTTATCTAATATAGAGAACTGTGTTGCCCATGATTTAATAAGAAGTGAAGCCACTGCCAGGGGCAGACTTAACCAATAAGCAGTGTTGGGGAGCAACTAGTTATATGTAACGAAATTACATAATTTAATTACAAAATAAATGTAACTGTAATCTGTTAGATTTACTGAGATAAAATGTGTAATTAAATTGCAGTTACTTATGAAAATGTTAATGATTACAAAGGGGGTTACATCTAAATATTTTCACACACATACAGATTTGATTGATTTATTTTCCAAATTGCATTGACTGCTCTAAAATATGAGGCACCATTGTTTCTGGAGTTTT